CCCGGCCATGAATTTCTAATTATTTGTATTCTTTCAAGTTTTTCTTTCTTTTTTTTTTTTAGTAGCTGATAAGAAAAGATAAGTAAATTAATTTGGGGGCAGCTTCTTGGCCCACCAAATGTGAAAATTTCATTTAAAAATCAAAGTAAGAGCCCTGACATGGTATAGCAAGTAAAGGTACTCACCACTAAGTCTAATAACCTGATTTCAATTCCTGGAGCCCGCAGAGAAGGAAATGCCTCCCCCAAGTTGTCCCCTGACTTCCACAGAGGAACCTCAATTGAGAAAAACTCCTCCATCAGATTGCCTGTAGGTAGCTCTCTTGATTAATGATTGATATGGATGGACCTAGCACACAAGGAGATTGTGCTACTTTGGGCAGGTGGTCCTAGGATGTGTAAGAAAGCATGCTGAGCAAGCCATGAGGAGTAATGAGCAGTGGTCCTCCACGGCCTCTGCTTAAGTTTTTGCCTCCAGGTTCCTGCCTTGCCTTCCCTTGGTGACAGGGACTTAAGAGTAGTAAGATAAAATAAACCCTTTCCTCTTCAAGTTGTTTTTGGTGATGATGTTTTAGCTCAAAAATAGGAAAGGAACTAGGATAGAAACTGGTACTAGATCATGGATATTGCAGTGACAGATTTGGTCTGTTTTTGGAGGACTGTGGAGAGAGTATGAGTCTGAGTCATTGATTGCTCAAAGCTTAATTAGTTATTGAATGAACTTGGAAGTAAATGCTGACAGCGGTACAGTGGAGCCAGACTGATCCTGAGATGGGCTGTGCTGTGCTGTGTATGGCAGAGCTGGAGAGCTGGGCTGTCTAAGGCCTTTGGAGCAGTGGATTGTGCGTGGGTCCCAGACGCTGAGCTTTATATTGTTGGAACTTGATTATAACTGTGTCCTGGTTCTTCCCTCCTGGAGTAGAAAGTATGTGATTTCTTTTTATTTTACAGAAACCCACAGCTGAGAGACCCTGGATTGTTGGAGAAACTTTGCCATTTTAGAAAGACTTGAGTTTTAGAGAAACCCTGGATAGCTAATGAGACTAAACTTAAAATGTTTGAATTTTTAAAGACCATGAGACTTTGATATTAATATGAGATCTTGGAAATGAACCAGGAGGGAAACATTATGGCTTAATAAATTGTGTGTGTGTGTGTGTGTGTGTGTGTGTGTGTGTGTGTGTGTGTGTGTGCGAGAAGTGGTCAATAGTGTTACTTAGTTTTATGCCACTTAACATAAGCTAGAGTCACTTGGGAAAGGGAACTGCCAACTGAGAAAATGCCCCTACCAGACTGACCTACAGGCAAGCCCGGGGAGCATTTTCTTGATTAATGATTGGTCTGGAAAGGCTCGGACCACTCTAGGTGGTGCCAACCCCAGGCAGATGGTCCTGCACTGTCTAAGAAAGCAGGCTGAGCAAGCCATGGGAGCAAGCCAATAAGCAGCACCCATCCATGCATCCATGGCCTCTGTTTCAGTTCCTGCCTTGAGTTCCTGCCCTGACTTCCCTCAGTGATGGAGTGTGAGCTGAGAGTTGTAAGATGAAATCAACCCTTTTCTTCTTGAGTAGCTTTTAGTCATGGTGCTTTATGACATAAGAGAAAATTAAGATACTATGGTACCTCTATGCATATGTGTACACACACACACACACCCCAAATAGAATGAAAAATTAAGATAAACAAATTAAATTCAATGTAACATGGGCCAGGAATACAGCTCAGTGGTAGAGTACTGCCTTGCATGCATGGGGCCTTAGATTCCCCATAAAATGAAACTTGACACAAGACAGATTCATGGCAAGAAGCAAAGTACACAAAGAATGGAATGCAACAAGCAACAAGGCCAAGCTCAGAAGGTCAAAGCACTACTTCCGGAAAGATTTGGCATAATTTACTTGTGGGATCACGAGTTGCTTCCTTATCCGTGAATGGGGATTATGTAAAATCCCACTCTGCCTCTCATGAATCAAATAATATACATGAAAATACAAGATAGTATTAAAGGTGCATGCATAAATATTAAAAAAAAACAGTACACAGAAAAGCAATATTTACAGTTTATGTAAATGTTGGTAAAAAAGCCAATTACTATCTGCCCACAGGAAAGGGTGAATTACCTATGTAGCGTGTGACCTCATCAGTCTCCCCGCCAAAAGCTATTTTCTGTCCTTCAAGCAAACTCTGTAACCTCTTAAAGTGAAGATTATTGATGATCCTTTCATAATCAGGAGACTCTTTTATATTTTCCCCATAAAAGTCCTATTAAAAACAACAGGAGTTAGTTATTTAATTTGTCACAAAATCCATATTTCAGTTTCTTTAATAAGTTCAAAATCTACTGGTGTCTAAAAGTTGACCTGGTTTATATCTCCATAGAGTCTAACACCCACTCTTCAAATAATTTAGTAATAGTACAGTAGAAGTAAATTTGAGCTTTTAGACAAGTCAAGAATTAACAAATAAGTAGACACTCAGACACATACATCCCCTCACACACATTCTCTCTCACACTCACACACTCACACACCTGTGCCTGTACTTTTCTCCAGGTGCCTACAGATCTCAAAGTCCCCTCATAACCCTTTTTGGAAGATGTCAGGGAAGAGGTCACTGGTTTGCATTGTCAGCTGGCCTCTCCCAGAAGTAAGTTGGGCAGCTGCTACAGAGATTCTTTGGTCTTTGAATGCTAAATATTTACTCTCATCTAGCCTTTACCAAAGAAGTTTGCTAACCTTTGCTCTACTTTGTTGGTTTTGTCTTCTCTGGACTGGTATTTTTACCAGTCACTGATAACAGCAAAACTACTCAATGTATAAAGATATAGCCTTGTTAAATTACCAAAGGAAAACACCCTCAATAAGGATAGTCAGTATTTACCATGTAAAACAAACAGGTAATATGGATTTGCTGGGAAGCTGACAGCCCTGTGAGAGCTCAGAATCTGATGTTGAATCACAGAGGTCTTATCCACTGACCTACCCAGATGAACTCAAAGGTCTGGGCAGCAGGAATCACTGGGACGCCTGTTGAAATACATGTTCTATCCAAGTCCAAGGCCACCAACACAGCCAGGTTTTCTGGCTGACTGAATCACAGACTATCAAGCTGGGGTGGGGACCATACCATATCAATCATAATCTTTGATGATAAGGGCTAGAGACTTATTTTTAAATGGCTCCCTAGTTATTCCAGCATGCTATCTGGCTGAGACCTCATGTCATAGCACAAACTCCTTAAAGGTACGGTAGAGGGGCCGCTGATCCTCTGGGATTTATCATTGTATTCAATAAAGCACTGATCCATTCCCAACTGAGTTCAGTCTCCAGCAACTGTGACCCTCCCTCCCACTCCCATTTCTCAGATCTAGACAACTTTCATGTTCTCCTTTCCTGGATCCTCAGGCTTCATCGCCAATTCTGCTCTCACCTACCCTCTCTCTCTCTCTCCACTTCCTGGCAGTTTTCATTCTTTCTGCATACATTACTCTTTGGTACTCTCCATCCTTTCAGGTGCTCAATTAACAAAAAGTTATCTCCACATGGTGGCTTACTAGTTAGTCTTTGTACCTGAACTCAGCACCCCTGATCAAACATTCTCTAACAATGAAGATCCTACATCTCCTTCAGGCCTTTGCTTATTACCAGAACACAGTCTTCATTAGTTCCTTTATGTACCCTAAAAGAAGGATAACCCTCTTCTCAATCTGTGGGTCACAACCCCTTCACAAGGGTCCAAATATCAGATAGCCTGCATATCAGAGATTTATATTATGATTCATAACAGTAGCAAAATCACAGTTATGAAGTAGCAATGAAAATAATTTCATGGTTGGGGGTCATCACAGCATGAGGAATTGTATTAAAGGGTCACAGCAATAGGAAGGCCAAGAAGCACTGCTTTACAGGGTGCATTTTAAGTAGGTATTTACTTCACTCCTTCAGACGACTGGCCGTCTAGCCCTCCACACACATGACAACTGATAACCGTCTTCAGCAAGAAGGGCTCTCTTCAAATGATTTGGAAACATTCTCGCAAAAGCACAGAAAACATTTTTGACTTTTAAGTATATGCCTCAACTAATTATCAACAAATCAACTTCACAATTTAAGTGGACTTGCATCAAGTTGGCCTTGTTCCCACAGATGCATAGTAAGTTAACTCAGTCGCTATGTGACTGGAATTGTCTGGGTTGGGGTAAACGTGACAGAGATGCTGTCTGAAAGCACTTTGGCGCTCATCAGTGGGATCAGAACAGAACAGCGGAATACAGACCTTCACCGTTTCCTTAATCTTCTGCACTATCCGATCCTGGAGGGAGGCTTCACAGAGGACATAGTCTGGAGCAATACAGGTTTGACCACAATTCATGTACTTTCCCCAAGTTATTCGTCTGGGAGAACAAAACAAAAACAAAAGCAGAATACCTATACAATTCATTGTTATTTTGTTTGTTTCCCAATGTATTAGGTACTTGCATATTGCTGTGACGAAACATCTGGCAAAAGCAACTTCAGAAAGGAAAAGCTAACTGTGGCTCACAGTTGATGTGCTCTGCATCACAGCAGGGGAACGGACACGACTGGTCACATGGCAGCCACAGCCAGAGGAGAGAGCAACCAGGACTTATGCTCAGTTCTTTTTTTTTTTTTTTTTTTTTTTT